ATAGCAAAGAACCAACTTTGAAAATACTTATATGTATAATGTAGACACGAAAACGAGACAAGAAAAATGCCTTCAGCTTATATAAGTCGATATTATGTTCAGAGCTGAACACTGTATTGCTGCTGTTGCTTTTCAAAGCTAAACAAATATACCTACATACATATAGTATAGTATAAGTATGTAGATCGACTCCACACATTCATTTGTTGTGGCGTTCTGATTAATTTTTGTTGTTGTGGAAATATCCAATTCAGCGTTGAGTTTTTTGTTGTTGGTGTAGTTGCTTTTGCTGTTGTTTATTAAATTGTTTCAATTGCAAACGTTGCTCGCAATTTGTCAACTTGAAGTGAAGTATGTTGTGCTCAACATACATATGTTTGTATGTACGTGTACATACATACATGTACACACTTACAATACACACTCCGCGCCACCTGAATAGGACAGTCCTGAAGATTTTCCTATCGCTCACTGCCCCCAAACATGAAAGATTTAGTTGTGATGCTAAAGCTTTAAGCATTCATTCATTCATTTTAGCACGAACATTACTTCAATTTGCGGTACTTTTGAGCATTTTAGATAATTAATTTAATTTAGGTAATGAATTTTCATAATAGTGTGTTGAGCCACCTTTCTGCTCCAAAACTTCACATACATAATTCGAGCTCCCAGCTAATATGTACCATATCTTTGGTTACACTCGAATATTTTTCTTGACATTTTAATAGTTCCCACACATTGATGATGATGATATTTAAGTCCGAAAAAAGGGGCAGCCAGCTAAATAAGTCAACATTTTCTCCCTTTATATACATCTGCTATGCAGACCAAATGATGACTAACTTTGCGGAGGTCATGGAATTGGTAGCTATAGCCATCGGGGCCTTTTAAATGAAGTGGTCTAGTTTTAAAATTTAAAAATTATTTAATTTAAAAAAATATGTTTATATGTTGGATTTTTTCGATTTTCCTAACAATTGTTCTTGTAAGCTTTGATTTGGTCTTTTAACAAAAAAATTTCGACTATCTATACGTATAGTATTTAAGTGGCGAACAAATGTTATCTACTCCTTAATGCATGCTAACATACAGTGGAAAATTAAAACATAAAACGGCTCATTTCTAGAAATGGCAATTTGTCACAGAGAGAAAAGAATAGTTGCAAAAAATAAATGTGCAAAAAGTTATGAGCAATTGCAAAAAGAGTGTGCAGGGTGTGCTATTGATGTGGCGAGTACTGTTAATAAATACATATGTATGCATGTACAGGGTGCGCCATCTTTTATGTCGGTATGCAAACATTGAATATCCTTGAAAATAAACAACCGGTTTTCAAGTATGAGATATTTTTATTTAATTTGGTTCTGTACAATTTCTTGAACTGAGGTTTTCAACACTGGTCTACTCAAGTCAATCGGTTCACTAATGACAAAGTTATTCAATATCTACATACCGACATAAAAGATGGCGCACCCTGTATGTATGTGTGTTTAACACAAATTGCCAATTTCTAGGCATTCATTGGCGACCGAGCTCCTTTTTTTTTTGCTACAGTCGTTGTTGTTGTTTCTGTTGCTTTACTCTCAAACTAATCACGACTAATGAAAGACAAAACTCAACGCTGGCGATGTTTGCTTAGATTGGATCGCCAGACCAGTAATCGCACGGACGTCGCACACTGGAACAAAGGCAATATGTACTGAACGCTACCGTCCGAAATGTTTTGTTCAATGGAACAAAATAATTTGATCAAAAAGTGTACAAACGTTGTGCCATTTCTGAAACAACTCATTTTAACCATAAACTAAACAATGGACGCTCTAAGCTCAACTAATTTCGTATCTAACTAGCTTGAATTGTTGGCAGTCAAAAATAATAACAATAAATAATAACAAGCTTGATTAACTATCCATAGGTCGAACCTATGCTGGAAAAATTGATGATTATATATTTCCCAATGGCTCCATGGGTGTATTAAATGAGTATCTCGAACAATTAAGCCGATCTTTCGTGTTAAGTAAACCAACTGATCTAATTTAACCCGGACAAGTTCATTTAAGCCGGTTCATCTGAGTGAGTGTTAGGCAGCTACTTGATTGGCTATTTTTATAATCAAAATTTGAACAATGAGTCCAATGACGTTATCATCGGAAGAATGAGGTCAATTGTGCTTGAAAATTGTCGTGTTGGCATCAGAGATATAGCAGAGGTGCTCAACATTTCGTATGGATCGGCCAACGTATTCGCCAGATGTGGCACCCTGTAACTTCTTCTTGTTCCCGAAACTATGGGGAAAGCTTCATGAGTCAATTGTCAAAGTCGTTAGATCAAGAAACTGAAAGCTATTCCAGTCAAGGATTACAATATAACAATTGTATGGAACATTAAATGAACAGTTAAGATGCTTGTATTAGCTTAAAAGGGACCAATATTGAAGAATTCATAATAATGTTCGTTGTTGAGCAAGTCGTGGTCAAATTTAATCAGATGGCTTACATAAATATGATCAAAAAGGGTTGATTTGTTGGTTTTTTTTTTTTTAATTATACTGGTATATTTATAAGTTAAATTAAACTTATAGTTAAATACAAATACAACTTGAACTAGGTGTTTAGTCTTAATTACAATTTAACATTTATAATTCATATAAATCTGTTGAGAAGATTTGCGGGTAGATCTCTAACTTTTTAGTAAAATGCTTCACGTGCTCAGTAATCTTTTTTCATTAAGAAAATAAATCCATATCCGTGTTAAGTAATCAATCACCTGGCAGATAGACTTCAGTGTCATCGATACAAATTGAAATTGAATGCAATAAATGGTAAGTAATATTCGAACCACTGTGCGGCGGCCAGCCACCAATGCTGCTCACATAGTAGTACTTGTCTGCATACACACATACTTGTACATACATATATGAACGCATTGGCACGCCCCAATGCAAGATCTGGCGTCGCCGCCCCCGCCTGGCTATAGGAGCAACAAAAAGACTATATTGTGTGCATTTTTTGTTGTTGCTTTTGTTGTTTTTCCTGTTGCATTTGGTCTGATTGACATAGCGCCGGCCTGGGCACGGCCACAAAGCAAACAATTCAAGTCAAGCCATTGTGGAGCGCCGCAACAAACGCTTGTGTCCTCGATCGATCGCCGGCAATAATTTAGCAAATGTCGTGCGCCCGTCGACTAAAATCTAGCAGCTTGACTTTCGCTGTCATACCCTTTGAAAGAGAATGGGCATAATGTGTTTATTCAGGTAAAAAGATACAAATTACAATTCAAATTATAATTGCGCGATTCAAGGAAACATGCACTAAAAATCTTACCAACTAGATATACCTAATATATAGAATTAGTAGAATTTTTTTTCTTGATATTACTTTGTTGTTGTTTTGGGTTTTAAACTAATACATAAAAGAACCCGAACTAGCAATTGCATCGAAATCTTCTTCAAAGCATTTATAATAGTAGGTTCTATAATAATAACCATTTTATTCCAATTCATTTTGTTAAAGACTTGCTGAATTCAACCTCAGTTGATTACCAATGTTTGTGTTGAAAACTTTAAATAAATTCAAAGTCGATGTAAAGAGTTGTTTATAGAAATACTATAATATCTCAAGTAGTCTGACAATTAGGCTTCGGTTAGAGTATTATTTGTTATTTTTAAAATCAAATTGTGCCCTGTTTGAATTATAGTTATATATACAAGTATATAGCTATAGTTGGCACAGACTATATATAGGATTTGATCTGGATGGTTTGCTTGTAGTGCTCGCACGTGCTGCCCTGAATACATTAAGTATAAGAATAGTAGGAAAATTCCGAGACTTAGCGGGCAATAGAAGACAACACTTTAGGAGAAACTAGCCAGAATTATGGATTACTCTAATAGAAGCACCAAAGCGCTAGTCCCACATGTACTTAGACCACTTAGACCGTTGCTTGAAATTGTATTGTACTTTTTAGAATAGGAGAAATAGGAAATAGGGTATGGAGTTATCGGTGATTCTAATTACCGCAGCTTAGACCCTGCCTCCATTTGCAACTCCCAAGCAACACCTTCAACAATTTCTGCTCGATATTTGCGCTCATTAACTTTATCGGTGGCTCTGTCGCCGGCTCCGTAGTCGTCGTTGGGGCTGTTTTCGTTGTCACCGCCTTCTGACTGGCTCACTTCACTAATTGGAGCATTTGTTAAATGGGCTTTTTAGTTTTGATTGCGCTGCCATTGGCACCAACGCTTGCTAGCCATGCCATTAGGCGCGTTCCTTTTTTTTATTTTCTTTCTAACTGGCTCCATTATCTGAGCTGCCTGGCTCTGTCTCGGTTCCAGTCAGTTGCTATTTAATGGCTTTTTTCACTCTCGCTAAAAAATGTTGACACACATACTCGTATATATCAATAAGTGCTCTGTGCCATTTAATAGAGGGTAATTCTTTGGGTAAATGTATCTTAAATATAAGTTTATTACAATGGTCTGCTTTGTTGATAAGCAGATGGCTTATAAGATTATGCGGAATGTTACAATTATTTCATTATTATTATTAATATTATTAATTCCTAGCGCTACAAGAATGAATCTTATAAATTAATGCACTAGTCACAACAATTAAATTTCCTTAGATATTAATAAAATTCAAGTGATTTGATTAGCCTACTTAACCTAATTATATTAGATACATTTTAGTTATACATAAATTTATGTTTTTGGTTTTTTGAATTTTTATTATTATTATATTATAATCAGTACAAAAGTGTTGCCTACTGAGTGTAAATGTATTAGTGTTAGTATTGTGAATTCTATTTCTATTTCACTTTTTTTTTTATTAAAAGAACATAAAACTGGAGAAAGACTGCCAACTACTTACCCATAATGATTTCTACATAGCCAAATCATAAATAGTTTCTATATTAAGCACTTTGAACAAATAGAGGTCTTTATTATACTAGAAAAGGAGCATTTCTAAGCGTTATTAATTAAATGGGATCACAAAATGGAATTAAACAGAAAGACAAATAATTTATTACAATAATAATCATATGAAATACATAATTGTTATAGATTTGTTAGCTCCTTGTACTTGTATTTGCAAGGTCTGCATGTGTCACTTGCATTTACAGGAATATAGAACTTTCGTATAGCTGATTTAAAGAATTCATCGTATTATTTTCAAAGTTTCTCACGACCAATTTATCCATAGTCCTTCGTAACGGAATTGCGTGATATGCAAGGGCATTCAAGACCAGGCATTTGTCGAACACGGCAGCATTAGAAACTAGGATTGATGATGACCATTCTTAATCCTGCAATTGCCGTCGGTTGTTATATAATTGGATGACTTTAATAAGGAACAGATGTGAAATAGTATCTTGCTCAAGCAGGAGCTCTTCAAGTGTCACAAAATGTTTTTTAAGGTTAACAAATAGTTGATGAAGAGGATTATGGCAGCAGGCGGTTGGTGTTAGCAGTAAATAAAAGAGAGTAGCAGATTAATTAAGTATTTAAAGTATGAAGTAGAAAATATACCCATAAGAAATACAGCAAAAGTGCGTTGATGGTAACACTTTTACTATTGTTGACATTTCAATTGCGCTAAGCTACGCAAAATATAGAGTTATCATCAACATAAACGGTACGAATACTAGGAAGGACATCATTTAGGGGATTGGGAAGCTGACAATAGCCCATATAGCCCACTGTGAAATTGAACATTAATTGGCATCAGTTATTCGTATAAATACAGATAGATATGGGTATTTTATGGTGTCACTCACTTAGGATGATTTGTTCTCAAGGACGATGCCTTCCCCCTCCTCACCATCCACATCATCATCATCTTCTTCTCCTCCTTCTCCATCTCCCCATCCTTCTTCTTCCCCCTCTTCTTCTACTTTGTCTGGTTGGGATGCTACAGCTGCGGCCATTTCGAAAGGTATAGGTATTTTATACCTTCTAGGTATAGGTATTTTATGGTGTCACTCACTTAAGATGATTCGTCCATGCGTTCCGCCTCCTCATAATTCACATCATCATCATCATCATTATCATCATCATCATCATCATCATCATTATCATCATCATCATCATCTTCTTCTCCTCCTTCTCCAACTCCCCATCCTTCTTCTTCAACTTCTCCTTCTCCTCCTTCTTCTTCTCCTTGGTCTAGTTGTGATGCTACTTCTTCGGCCATTTCGAAATCCTCCTTCTCGCCCTCTTTGTTTTCGTTGGCTTTCCTTAGATTTCCCCATTCTTTTCTTAGCGGCTTCAATACGGTGTTTTTGGAGTTTCTTCAATGCCTCTGTAGTTTCCATGATATTCGATCTAACAATTTTTAAATGTGTGTTGTTCTAAGTGCAGCTTCTTGTGAAAGTTTGAGTTTATTGTACGGCAGTACGAGTATTTGTGTATCTTCAATGAAGTCGAATGAATTTATAATAAGCAGTTGAGCCTCTCGTCCATTATGATTTTGGAAGCTAAACAACTGTGAAATTGAACATTAGTGGGCGTCAGTTATTTGTATAAATACAGATAGATATGGGTATTTTATGGTGTCACTCACTTAGGATGATTTGTTCTCAAGGACGATGCCTTCCCCCTCCCCACATTCCACATCATCCTCTTCTCCTCCTCCTTCTCCATCTGCCGATCCTTCTTCTTCTCCTTCTTCCCCCTCTTCTTCTACTTCGTCTGGTTGGGATGCTACTTCTGCGGCCATTTCGAAAGGTATAGGTATTTTATACCTTCTAGGTATAGGTATTTTATGGTGTCACTCACTTAAGATGATTCGTCCATGCGTTCCGCCTCCTCATAATTCACATCATCATCATCATCATCATCATCATCATTTTCATCATCATCATCATCATCATTATCATCATCATCATCATCTTCTTCTCCTCCTTCTCCAACTCCCCATCCTTCTTCTTCAACTTCTCCTTCTACTCCTTCTTCTTCTCCTTGGTCTAGTTGTGATGCTACTTCTGCAGGCATTTCGGAATCCTCCTTCTTCTCGCCCTCTTCGTTTTCGTTGCGGCTTTCCTTAGATTTTGCCATTTTTTTCTTAGCGGCTTCAATACGGTGTTTTTGGAGTTTCTTCAATGCCTCTGTAGTTTCCATGATATTCGATCTAACAATTTTAAAATGTGTGTTTTTCTAAGTGCAGTTTCTTGTGAAAGTTTGAGCTTATTGTACGGCAATACGAGTAATTTTGTATCTTTAAAGAAGTCGAACGAATTTATAATAATTTTTAAACGTATCTTTCGAAATGACAAGAGTAGAATTACTTGACAGTAAAATATTATTTAAAACAAATACGAGTATCTAGTGTTTCAGTATTTATGGGTATTTATTTACAAGCACCTTCCTATGTGAAATGTCTTTGTTCAAGTGTTTATTTCTTCGATTTACTTCGAATTTATTAAGCTTTCCAAGGTATGGTTTGGTAAAGTAGTGTATTCTTTTATAATGCGTTATCGTGCTTTTCTAGTAATTTGTTGTGAAAGTGGCTAAAAACACTCTTGACAGTGGTCGACTAACTTGAAATACATACTCGCACATGCGACGATTCCACAAGTGTCGATTAATGTCGATTAGTTTAAACAAATGTAAAACAAGTAGAAAAGCTAAAGTCGGGTGTCCCGACTTTGAAATACTCTCAAAAAAAATTAAGAAAATTAAAAAAGAAAATTTGATCGATTTTCGGTATTCGAACTCACGTAAATGGTACATTTACATAGCAATTGCGTCTGTGTGAGTGTATGTATGCCTATGCGCATCTATACGTGTCTGTGTAAACATGTTAGCAGTCAACCAAACAGCAACATCAACAACAGCCGCGGGCAGCGCTGCAGCAGCAAATATATTTATGGCTATAACTTCTCGTTAAATCGGTCTATCATAGTGGAACTTGGCATACGGACACATAATAACTAACTGGGGGTATTTGCAAAATTTTAGTTCGAAATTCCAAGAATTACGGGAGTTAGAGAAAATTCGCAATTTGCATGGGAGAGGGGAAAGGGAGGGAAATTCGAAAATATACATTTTCTGCGTATTCACACAAGGCATCTTGGACTAAAATTTTGTGTTCCTAGGTCTTATAGACTCCGAGATATAGGTGATTATACGAATGGAAAATCGGGAAAACCCCCATAGGGGGGAAGTGGGGGGAAAATCAAAAAAAATAAAACAAACTCGTATAGAATACACACATAAGGCATCTTTGTGCAAAGTTTGGTGTCTCTATCTCTTATAGTCTCTGAGATCCAGGTGTTCATACGGACGGACAGACAGACAGACAGGGCTAGATCGACTCGTCTCGTCATCAAGAATAGATATACTTTGTGGGGTCTGCCACGCCTCCTTCTGCCTGTTACATTTCTCACTTCCCGCAAACCTAATATACTTCTGTACATTCCATGTACAGAGTATAAAAACTTATAATTTATAATTTACACAACACGCCGTTACGATATCTCATAAATCACACATAATTATTGCTTGAGACTAAGTAGCTACTTATACTTACATATTATATGTATATTTCTCTATACTTATCCGAATTATCTAAGTACTAAGTAAGTGCGTTTTGATAATGCCCCATGCTGGGCACTTGATTTACTTAACTTTGTTGCTTAAGCAGCGCGGGCAATCACAACAACAAAAATAAAATCTAAAACATGTCAACTGTCTCCCTCTCTCTCTCGGTCTGCCTGTCTGTCTGTCTGTCTGTCTGTTTGCCCGTCTGTTCGTTTGTTTGTTTGTTCGTCTGTGCGTCTGTTTGGCGCTTGATTTGATTTGATTTTATTTAGTTTTTGTCTGCTGCCTATGCACATTTTGTACATTTTGCCTTTACATTTAATTAATGACTTAGTGAGGTAATCAATTTGTAATTTAATTTGCAATTTTATTTACATAGCAATTGATTTTGATTGTTTCGTTACAATTACATGACGGTGCTGTGGCTGCTACGGTTTCTACGGTTGCTACGATTGTGCTGCGATTGCTACGATTGCTGTTGTTGTTATTGCTATTGATGGTTTTTATAGTGGCGATGGTGATGGTTGTGGTTGTGGTGCCACCACCACCACCACCACCACCGCCACCGCCACTGCCACTGCCACTGTCGGTGGTACACAGTTTGCCCGCGGGCCATGCAAATGCATATACATACGTGTGTGTGTCTTTGCATTTGGTTTGGTTTGGTTTTTGCGCTACGATTGCATACGATTTGCATGTGATTAATGAAAAATAAAATAGAAAAACAAAAGGCAGGGGTCTACGGACAGCTATGTACGTACTCGGCTCGCCACTCAATTGACCGCCTGGACAAACGCCTGGCCGGCGGAACATGTTTTTCAATCATAAATAAAAATAGATGAAATTCCAGAGTTGAAGGTGTTAAATGGATACGAGTGCAATTTACATCATCGATTTTATTAGCAAACGTTTATAATTCAATTAAAATGAACGATGTATTTCGTTGAATGGGTGCCTGCAAAAGTACGTTTGTGTTGCGGTGTGTATGTGTGTGTGTGTGTGTGTGTGTGTGCGTGTTTTATTTTTAAATTTCATTTTCAATTCAATTCCTTAACGCTCAGAATATGTTACGCATACGACCTGTTTCCGACACCATTACCGTAACTTAACCATAACCATAGGCGTAAGCGTAAGCGTAAGCATTACAGCCCGACCAAAGGCACGCTAATTGAAGCATTTTGCTTAATGTTTATTAAATATTATCATTATTATTATGTTGATGTTTATGGCTTTTGACTTTTTGCGCCGCTGTGTTATTGTCTCGCTGACAAATTAGTTTCACACTTTGCAGATCGCCAGCAATGTTGCCGACACTCACACTCACACCCACACCCACACCCATGTCCACGCCCACACCCATGCCCATGCCCATGCTGCCCGCACCACATAAAGCCGAGCTTGGCTTAAATATTAGGTTCGGTTTTGTTTGGCTCGGTGCGGTTAAGTTTGGCTTCCCATTCAGACACACTTCATTCAGCTTTTGGCCGCCCACCTTGACAGTCTCGACAGTCGCCGTTTGTCGTTTGTCGTTTGTCGTCTGTCGTTTTTGTGCATTTCAATTTCGCTTTGGTTCGGAATGATTTTTTCCCCTCTTCTTTTCATTTATTTGTTTTTGTTTTCATTTGTATGTAGCATGTATTTGTTTCAGTTTCTGTTTCTGTTCGCCACATCCATTCATTTCGTCCGTTTCTTTTTGGGACTGCTATACTCGTACTCGTACTCGTAGGTATAGCCACCGCATTTGGCGCTGCCTGCATTTATAATTAGTTCCGAATTTGTCGGCGGCAACATTTGCGCTTATGGACGCAACAAGTGTGGCCAACACGTTCTGGCCAAATTGGCTTTTCAATTCATAAAAATTGAAATGAATTTTTCATTGCTCTGTTTGTCGTTTTCTGTTTGGTCTTTTCGCTGCCGTGCTGCCGGTGGCCACACACGGCCGATGTTTATGGTCCAGTGGCTCGTGACATGTTTGTTATTTCATTTAACAAATTTTTGGAAATTGTGTCTGTGTCGATGGGACGCATCGAGCACTGGTGTCTTGTGGCCAATAGCACGAGCTTTTTATTGCTTAACAATTAAAATATTTGCAACTAATAGAGTCAATTATTAGCTGCTTAAATGATACATTTTTATAGACGTATCAATTAAACAGATAACGCAGGCGTTTTCAACATGATTGAAAGTTATGTTCTCGATATACTGTTTTTAGGAAGAAAACATTTTTTTCAATCTAATGCTGGATTGCTTCATCAGAGCTCGTTGTGCAATGGAATCCAATTATCCACATTGAGCGCCAGTCCGATGATTTAGATATTGGAAGCTAGTTGAGCCCCATTTCTAGCCATGCCATTTAATTGTGACACAAACAACCACATATGTGTTATATGCACTAAAGACGTTAAAGGAAAATAAGAGCATGGCTTTTGTAAATGTAAAAGTCTAAGTTTTGCGATATTAAATACATAATAGGAATGCATGCATTTGTAACCTATTCAATTTTATTTTATTTAGTTTTAAAGTAGCTCCCGATCTTTAAATCTTAAAGAGGTTCATTGTATTATGACAATGAACTATTTTCCTGTAATAAAAGCCAACCTGTCCTGGCTGAGCTGATAAAATATACCTTTTCCTTCTGGTAGACGTTTGATCTGTAAGCTGCAAATATATTTCGTGTAACTTTTTAATTTGTATATATTATATTTTAAGTATATATTTCTTACGTTATATTTATGCTTAAATATTTATTCATCACACATATCCATTGAGATACAACATTTAAAGCTTGATTACATTTCTATAATATGTACAGTTTCTCAATAAATATATAATATTAATACCTCACCCCTCACCTTTCCTGTACAGGGTGTTAAAATATAAAGCAATCGAGCTTAGGCGAATTATACATAGAATGGTATTTGCATTGGAATTTTGTTGGAACTAATTGTGAAATGCAGAATTCGTTTTACTTTATAAAAAAACGAGACTTGCTTACTTTTGTTTTACGGATTCAATAGTTTGTTAGTTAATTAAGTTAGTGGCTTGAGATATTTTTGAAGTGGATAGTTAACAGTGCAGTGCCAGGCACAACATACATAGCTATATATATCCCCAGATATGCTTAGTATGATTTAATTAGGTTTATGGGAATGTCGGAGAGCTGTCAACCATTTTAGGGCATACACTACGCCCACGCAACGATTTGGAATTACAAGCAAAGCATTATGAGCAAGTCTTTCCACTTTTCTTGAGGCATCCTTAACACATACACATTAATTATATACTATAGTATATACTCTGTGTTGGCAAATAAAATCTGATATCTATAGCAGTAATATTAAATTTTCAGCTTAACATTCAAAAGGCATTCACTGTGGACACCTCCTTACCTTGCTCAATGCTCTTCCATCTCTATGGATGTGCTTATATGTGGGTGCGAGTGCGAGTGTGTGTGCGTGTGTGTGTGTGTATACTATATGTCTGCTATATTTTCTGATTACTTTTCATTCCTGTTGCTGCTGCGGCGCTGTGGTGCGCTGTTTGCTAGCTGGGCTTGTTGCTGCAATTAGCCAGCGACATGAGTGTCAACATGATTTGACCCTT